CTCACTCACAAGTGGGAGTTGAACAATGAGAACACATGGACACAAGGAGGGGAACATCACACACTGGAGCCTGTCGGGGGGTGGAGGACTAGGGGAGGGATAGCATTAGGAGAAATACCTAATGCATGCCGGGCTTAAAACCTAGATGATGAGTTGATGGGTACAGCAAACCGCCATGGCACGTTTATACCTATGTAACAAACCTGCACGTTCTGCACATGTATCCCTGAATTTAAACCAAAAAAAAAAAAAAAACTATAAAGAATGAAAAAAGAAGCATCCAGAGACATAGGTATAATTTTTGAAACCTATACTGACCAAAATATATTTTAGTGTCTGAAAATACTCTGATATTGAAAATGTAATATAAAAAACTTAAGAAAAAATAAAAGGTAAATTAACTGATAAAAAATCTAAATAAATAAATAAATAAAAGCATACTAGACCTCCATCTTTCATAGTAGGAAGTTAACATTTATGGCCTAAGCCCAAGAATAAAGAAATATATACATAAATATATATAACATTAATAATAAGCATAACATCTTCTATATTACATTTACATTGCATAATTTATATTATATATAATATACATAATATATATTGTCTATAGGTAAATAAGCATGTGTAAATATACATACACACACATATATAAACATGTTATTCAAAGAAATGAAAATCCTATATTTCAACAATTCTGAGACATACTTTTTTCATTTTACATTTCAACATCTCCATAATCAGGATATGCCTCAACCCAAGGTGTATCATAGTTTAACTGGCAGCATTTGTTGCATTATAGAATCACAGGCATTGTTGGTTTACCGAAATGCGGTCAATGCCAATCAGTTGAAGGAGTTCAAAATGGCTGCCTCTGAGAAGCTACATGGATGGGGTGGTGAGGGCACTAAGGGACTGCTATTGTAGTAACAACCTTGTGAAATTATTTGACTCTTTATGTATATGTGTACTTTATTTTACACAAAAAGACTTTAAAATAATGTTTTAAAAGTTTTTAACAACCCTGCTGGCTGTTTTGTGGAAAAGAATCACTAGGAGGATAAGATTGGGAAGGGGAAAATGAGCAGGGTCTCTTGCTTGGTTCAGGAGACTGGTGATGGTTTAGTTATAACAATGGAGGTGGTGGTAATTGATCAGATTCTTGATACATATTTAAAATAAAGCTGACCAAGTTTACCAATGTATTGAATGTGGAATATGAAAGAAAGAAGAGAATCAAACATGACTACAAGGTTTCTGGCCTGAGAAGCTGGAAGGATGAAGTTTCAATATCCTGAGATGTGGAAGACTATATGAAAAGCAGGTATTAGTCAAGGTTCTCCAGGGAAATAGAACCAATAGGAGATATAGATACAGATGATAAAGATAGAGAGAGAGGTAAGAGGGGATTTATTATGAGAATTGGCTCATGCAATTATGGAAATTGAGATGATTCACAATGTGCTGTTTACAAGCTGGAGAACCAGGAAAGTTGGTAATGTTACTCAGTCTGAGGCCGAAAGCCTTGGGTAGGGGAAGGAGAAGAATAGTGTTAAGTCCTAAAGGTCAAAGGCCTGAGAGCCAGAAGCACTGCTATCCAAGGGCAGAAGGAGATGAAAATCACAGTTCCAGACAAGAGTAAGTTTATCCTTCATCTGTCCTTTTGTTCTGTTCAGGCCCTCAACAGACTGGATGATGCACACTCACATTGGTGAGGGTGGATTCTCTTTACTCAGTCTGCAGATTCAACTTCTAAACTCTTCTGAAGACACCCTCATGCACACACCCAGAAACAATGTTTTACCAGTGATCTGGACATTCTACAACCCAGTCTAGTTGACACATAAAGTTAACCATCACAGCAGGATAAGGAAGGAGGAAGATCAAGAGTGCAGTTAGGTCATATAAGTTTGGGTGCCACTTAAACATCTAAGTGGAAGTGATTAGTCGGCAAATTACATACACAAGTCTGGAATGCTGTCCTAGCTAAGCTGAAGATAAAATTTGGGTTTGTTTCCTCATTTTCCTACATCCCTCATCTAAACAGTATGGTTATTGTTCACCTGCTTTTATAGATAATAATAAACTAAGTCTTGGTTTTTGTTTATGTGCTTGTTCAAAAATAAGTCTTCAAGTATTGATTTTTTTTTTTTAATCAATCAGTATTTGTAAGTTTTTGCCTCTTTCTGGTATTGTCAGCAAATCCTGACCATGCTCATGTAAGACTGCTGTATTAGTCCATTTTCACACTGCTATAAAGAACTACCTAAGACTGGGTAATTTATAAGGAAAAGGGGTTTAATTGGCTCACAGTTCTGCATGACTGGGGAGGCCTCAGGATATTTACAATCATGGCAGAAGGCTAAGGGGAAGCAAGCACGTCTTACATGGCAGCAGGAGAGAGAGCAAGGAGGGAAGAACTCACTCACTTTTAAGAGAACAACATGAAGAAAATCCCCTCCCATCATCCAATCACCTCCCCCCAGTTCCCTCCCCTGACAAGTGGGGATTACAGTTTGAGATGAGATTTTGGTGGGGACAGAGAACCAAACCATATTAACCGCATACCTGTCCAGAAAACCTAAGCACATCTTACAAAGATGTTGGTTCCTTTATGCAGATTTATTTTATTTTGAGAATTGTGTTAAAAGGAATGTTGTTACCCCTGTTGGTGGAAACAAATACTTCCTACATAGAGAAAAAGCTAAAACTACATCTCCTATGGCATTGAATCATGGATGCCAAATTTGTCCAGCAACAAAATTTAAAAAGCCCTCTGAAACCCTTAGAAACAGTTGCCAGGTACATTGCTAGTCATTTACATTATGTTCAATTTCTTGAAGCCCCTTCCACAAACACATATACAAAACAATGAAACATAGACAAATTTCGTGAGTCAGGTGAATTAACTCCTGCTTGCTTTCTTCAAAGTAACACTAAATAAGGTCCTGATTTTATCCTCTCATCAGACTTTTTTCTCATCAGACTTTTTAATTCACATTATGCATTTCACTTTGAAGAACACAACAAGAGACACAGAACAAATTCTTTCTGACCAAAAAGACATGTATAAATATGATAAAGTCTTAAGCACCTTGGAGAAAGGCTCTTCATGAACTTTCTTGAGTTCCGGCCAGTTTTTGGCCATCACACTATGGGCAGATCCGATTGACCTCTCCAATATTCTAAGTGTTGGGATAGTCCTCTAAGATGTGATTGCATGGTGAGGTACACACCTAGAGGCTAATTCCAGACAAGGAGTCACAAGAATACCCACCCAACAGTTATTTGGGTCTCTGCAATTAGAGGCATTTCTGTTAGTTAACTTTTCTTTGATCCTTTTAGAAAATCTGGAGAACTTTCCATTTCTTTCTACATTTATTATTTTGCACTTCCAATTTCTCCACCTTCTTCTCTATCCCTAAGCACTTAAAACAAAATATTTGATCATTTTTATAGCAGTATATAGTTAAACATAAAAGAACAGTGAGTGTTTTTCACCAATTTCTAGTGACAATTTAAAGACTGTTTTCTACCAGTTTTTTTCTCATTACACCCACACTACCTTTCCCCTCAGTGTTTCTTTCTTGCAAAAATGATTCCAGATATGTAATACAGGTGTGCAGCAGACATATACCCTTAACAAACCGAGACAGCTTAATTACACTGGGATAACAAACAACCCTACATCTCTGTGGCCTAAAACAGCAAAGCTTATTTCTTGCTTATAATACATTTCCCCCATGTGCCAGTTGAGTGTTCTGTTTTCTGTCACTTTGTCTTCACGCAGAGACCTAGCCTGAGACAGTGGACACAATCTACATTACCGATTGCTGAAGCAATGTGTAGAGACAGTATGGCCAAAAAGTGTACTGGTTCTTAAACTTCCACCTGAAAACGACATGCATGCCACTGCCATTATATGTCTTTGACCATAACAAGTCACATGGCCAAACCTAAGGGTCAGATAAATACAAATTTTTCTTACAGGTGGGGCACTGAATATTAGTAAACAGTTATACAATCTATTATACACACTCAAGTACAGAGTTATGATGTATGTGTTTTTATATCAAAATCCCTAGTAAAAGAGGAAATTTCTGTTCACTTTGTCTAAGTGTTGTTTAGAAAAACATCTAAATTCTGAGATTCAAAGTCCCAAATTACTGTCTCAACCTTACTCTGTATGTTTGGTTAACAGCTAATGGTTTCACATTTTGTAGATAAATAAAGGTCATCATCTCATTAAATGGATATGTTTCAGACCACGGAAAAATGTATGACATGGTTACCAAGGTTCTTCACTTATTATGAAGGTCTGAAAATGTCACCAGGGGAAACCAAGAGCCATTTTCAATCTGAAACAATCCGTTCCAGTTGTGATTGTGCAATGATAATTATGCAGTTGTGTTCTATTCCTCTTCCCTAGTGTCACGGATGTCAGGAAATGTGCTGTTCCTTTTAATATTAACTCTTTATGGCTCAGAAAGATATTTGGGGGCACATGGGGAAGAATGTAGTTGCAGTGGAATACTGAAAAATATATGAAAGGAAAATAAATCTCGGGACCCCAAAATCACTAAGTCAAGGAAAAAAGTGAAGCTGGGAATTGTGTCAGGCAAACCTGCCTCCTATTTTATTTCTAAATAAAACAGCTACAAAGATTAAAAAAAAAAAAAAAAAGCTGCTACATACATCCCCTACAATTTATCCACTAGAAAATTCCTTGTGGGCTCCAAGATCTTTACCCTAAAACAGTTCTGTTGAATTTCACCCTGACAATGTAAATTGATAGCTTATCTTCACAGGTGGAGGACAAAGGACAGAACTTTGTCCTCCTTCTGCTCACCTGAGACAAATGGATACCTGATTGCTTCCTCTGATGTAAAATGCAGATTCACTGAGCTAGATGAAGGCATAAGTGACTATTCCTCTATCTCCTTCTCACATGTAAATTGTGTATTTGGTGAAAGGCTGATCAAAGACTCAAAAGAGTGCAAATGTTTGTCTCTTATCTACCCACATCTTCTAACAATTTATTTCTCTTTCCCCAATATTTGCCTTTTCCCTTTAAACACTGAAGCCCTTAAAATTATCTTTGGAGAAAGGCACAAACTTGCCTCCTGGGCACACGTCATTAACCTTGGCAAAATAAACTTTCTAAATTGATTGAGACCTGTCTCCGACACTTTTTGGCTTACAAACATGAGGCCAGGAATTATGACCTTTCCAGTATAATTTGACAAATCAAGCAGTTTAGTCGATTTCCAATCAAGTGTGCATTATCTATCCAGTTTACTCCATCACCACGTTTCTATTCCTGGTCATTTGTGTAGATTAGACTCATGTTATTTCTCACCTAAGCCCCTGAACTAGCTTATTCCTTTCCTTCTTGCCTCCAATTTCTCTCTCTCCATTCCAACTTCCACATAGCAGCTATTTTACTAAAGCTCAGTTCTGATGGTGAAAGTTACACATACAGAAAGGAGTTTACTGGTTCCCTATCACTTACAGAATAATGTCCAGTTCCTAAGCACACCCTTTCCTCAACAACTACAGGTCAATCTACTTTTTAGTCTTTATTTTCCAGTGCACCTTCTTATGTTCATTGAAGTATGCAATTGAAAATAGTGAAATTTTTTCAGCAGCTAACATCCTCTTATTTTGAAAGATACAAATTTATCTACTCTTCCTTATAAGTGTAAATGTCTTGCTGACTCCAAAGAGCTTTTAATAGACTCATGATAACAATTAGGCCTCTTGATAGATATGAAAGACAAAAATATCTGCAGTTGATCCTTGATGAACAGTTACATGTGTTGCATCCAAAGGCTAAAAGTAGATCTTTTTAAAATTACAGCAAAATAATCATGCCACAGTGAGGTCAAGGAGAGAGAAGTTAATAATATTTAATTATAATCACAGCAAAATGGTGAACTATTAATGCCCAAACATGAATATATTCTTAAAAGCAATATCTCAGTTTAGACCAGAGCAACCAGTCAACTTAAATTCCAGTTAAGATTTATTTTAGTTCAATTTTGCAAATTGTTCCAATTGAATTTCTTTGGATAGGAAACAGTTTATACTGATAACTAGTAAAAAAAAAAAATAGTGTCCTTGTTGGTTGAAAAGAAAAATGAGAGAGAAAGATCAGGAAAAAAAATTATAGAATATTTTGCTGGTTTGTGTAATCTTCTATGTTTTCTCCTTCCTGACTTAATCCCTGTCCCAACCCTTCCCAAACTCCCCAAATCTTCATTTTATTCTTCAGAAACCCCAGTTCTATGATAAACAATTCTTCTACATTCCCACAACTTGTCTTCCTTGCACTTTCTGCTCATAATTAACCCTAACTTCCCATGTGGAACACCACTTCTGTTACAGCCCTTTTGATAGAAGTGGCATATTTCCTAATCCCCCAAGTATCTCAGGGCTGCAAGTGGGTTCACGTTCCAGACAATATTTTTCCAGCCTCTGTAAATCCTGGACCTGCTGAGTCTAGCTTTACAGTCTCTATCTTCCTCATTGCCATTGCCATCTGCCACCTCTGTATACCATCTGTCCTTTCTTTCAGACACTGTCCACCATCCTCAATCCTTGTACTTTGTCCAACCCATGAACTCTTACCAAATGACCCTGTCTTCTACTGGGGGAAAATAAACCATCTGATTGGAACTATATAGTCTCAACTTCCCACCATCAAATCCCAAAACTATCATTCTCTCCACCTTTCTGTTGCAATATGGAGATTGTTCCTTATCATCAAAAGCAATTCCTTCATCTGGACTTAGAATCTTTTTTCCCTAGAGTCTTCTCCTTAGGAATCAGGCACCAACGAATCTCTCTCTCTATCTCTCCCTCTCTTTCTCTCTCCCTCTCTCTCTCTCCCAGACCTCCTTCAAACTAGCATTATTCATGTCTCTCCAAACTTAAAATCAAAACAGAGAATAGAATAAAATATTCCCTTAATCTGATAGTCCTTCCAATCCATCATCTTATTTCTTCCCTTTCCTCTTCTGTTACCTTTCTTTATTTGGTTTTCTTTACTTTCCTCCCAGTCTTCACTCTAAATCTGGCTCCTGGGCCCACCATCCCACTGACACTGCCCTTGCCAAGGTCATCATTGACCTCCATTATACTACATCCAGTGAATGCATTTGAACTTTCAGCTTACTTAATGACTCAGCATCTGCCAGTTCAGTGAAATAATCCTTTACTTAAAACACTGTCTGGCATCATCTTTTGCAACTCGATTTCTGTCTTATTTGTAGGCAATATTTTCTCTATTAATCATTAACTATTGGGGTTTTGGGGTTTTGTAGGGAGGGCTCTGTCTGAAGTATTGTGCTCTTCTCACTTCACCCTCTCTCCATGTCATCCACCCTGATGGCTTTACAGTAGACATGGTTAGTGGCTGCACAGCTCTCTTCAAATCATCTTTACCAGTCTCTGTGCCTCTTCCCTGGTTTTAGTTCACTTTTGCTCCCAGTGACCCTCAGAGGACTTCCTGTGGGGTTTAGAACCAGTCTTATTCCATCGCTGGGATGACTCTTAAGAACTTGGTGTGGAGTGATAAGGCTGACTCACATTAAATGAGGTGGAGATACCAGAGTAGTCTTACCAGAGTTCTAAGGAAGAGATTCAAAAGCCCAAGATGTGGGTATGCCAAAATAGTTCTATATTATAACTGAGGACCCACCAGTGATGAAGGAGAGAAAAAACCAAGGTCTGATTCACAGATAGACCAGCTTGGTACACTAGTATAAACAAAAATAGCCTGCTGCTGCATGACAGAGGTCCCAGCTTTGAACAGGAGTGCACCTGGTCACCCACTTTGTGTGAAGAGAGTCGCTTGAAGGAAGGATAAGCATGGACTTCTGAGCAGTGCAGAGTGGATCATTTGGAATTGGACCATTTGGATCGGAAGATTGGCAACAAAGAGATCGGGAGTAGAAACAGGTTCATGGATCTACAGGAATGGGCAAACTGTGTATCATGCATTAACGTCCATTAGGGAGTATTGACTCTAGAAGAGGTTCTATAAAACTGGTTGGACAGGATGACTTAACTGGTAAATGTCAGGTAGCCCTGGCCACACCAAGGCTGGCACATTGGGCCTCCTCAAAGAATAGTCATGGATATTCAAATGGAGGCATGAGCCCAGTGGAAGGGTCTCCCTCCCACCAATGCTGATCTAGTTACTGCCACTGCTCATACCTGTCTGAAAGATGCCCAGTATGCTACCGTCTCTCAAGAAGACACCATTTAGTTGCAAATAATTCCTTTTCTACCCTGAAAAGGGAAGTTATTTGTTTTATCCAGCAATAGCATATTTTCTGGGTATAGGTTTGCCTTTCTGCCCACAGTGCCTCAATTCACACCTACTATTCAAAGACTCACAGAGTACTTGATTTACTGACATGGAATCCTGAACAATATTGCATCAGACCAAGAAGCCAACTTATGACAGAGGGGGGTCACAGAACAGGTGTGTGAGTATGGAATCCACCAATTCCCACATACTGTATAGCCCAGACATTGCTATTCTGATAGAGATTGGAACAGTTTCTTAAAGTCACAACTAACGTGCCAGCTTAGAGACAATACATTATGAGGGTTTGGTGTTGCTTTAGGATGTAGTATATACCTTATACCAATGGTCATTATGTGGTACTGTGTATCCAATGGTAGAATCCAGTGGTAGAATATATGAATACAGGAGTCAAGGGGTAGAACTAGAAAGAGTCCATTCACTTCATTCCTACTGACTCATTTGTTATTTGGGAAATTTGTGCTCCTAGAAACTGGACCTAAGACAGGCTTCAATATGGTGACAAAACCTAAATCTATTATCTGACCCACAACTTTCTTATGAGTTCGAAATCTGAATATCTAACCACCTGCCTGACATTCAAATTAGATACCTCACAGGTACTTGCAAGCTAATATGCCCAAAACAGCAGTCACGATCTCTCCCTTCCTGCAGGATATCATTATAAGTGAAGAATACTGCCATCTACTCAGGAGCTCAAGCTTGAAATCTGGAGTCTTCTTCAAAAATTTTTGTTCCTTTATCTACCATAGCCAATCAACCATCACGTTTTAGCAATTTTATTCTTCTAAATGTCACACATATTTTACAATCAGAGGATGCTAGCCTACTGACACCACCCAAATTCAAACTCCATCATTTCTCAATTGGATCATTGTGACAGCCTTTATGGTGGCAGCCTCTAAAATGGTCCCCAATGATCCCTGCTTTCTGATGTTCACAGCGTTGCGTAATCCTCTCTACTTTTGCATCCAATAAATAGAATACAGCAAACATGACGCGATGTCACTTCTACATGGGTTAGAAAAAACACCCTGAGTTTAATCTTGCTCTCAGTCTCTTGCTTTCTCACCTGCGTGGAAACAAGCTGTGTCACCTGGGTTACTCTGCCTGTGGGGACATGACAAGGAACTGAGGGAAGCCTCCAGCAATAGCCAGCAGGGAACTGAAGTCCCCAGTCCAACAGTCCATGAGGAACTGAATCCCACACGTAGCCACAGGAGCAAATGTGGATTCTCCCTCAGTTATACCTTCAGATGGGAGAGCAGCTCTGTCTGACATCTTAATTATAGCTTCATGAGATCTTGAGCCAGAGACACCCAGCTAAGGAACTGTGCACCCAAAAAAGTGAATTTTACTGTATGTAATAATTTTTAATTTTGGGAATAATATAGTGTTTCTTAAGAGATACTGTAGCATGCATTTGCCCTGAGTTAGATGTAGAAAATGAAAGGACAGATCAAAGACAGCAATTATAATGGAGCCCAATGCGAAGTCAAAAGCTCAGAATAAGCTCAGAATCAAGATACAATCTCTCTAACCACGTATCTCTTGTTTTGGGCAGATTTACATCAGTAAAATAGTGTATCATCCAATACATGTATTAAGCAAGCATAGATTAGGGACTCTTCAGGTTAAGAAGCTCTTTTGGGAAGAGGAAAATTAGCATGTATCTGGAGGTCACTGAAGTTTGCTGAAACCATTGGGGCCAGTGAGACTGGTAAGATTCATTGTTAGATGTCATCTCCTATGACAATAACAGACTGATAAAATCTAAAAGGGAGATCTCAAAATTCTAAACTGGAAAAGAAAGCGATTTGCAAAATACAAATTGAATTTCATTTCCCTATCTACCCTCACACACAGAAGCACATCAAGGCAGAGGTAGAGCAGCAGAAAGGAACAAGGCAAGACTTCGACCAAATCATCTGCGTTCAAATGCTGACCCCTTGTGTCTACAAGTCATCATATCACGGTATTCTGTACTTAACCATCTGGTTTTTCAGCTCTATTTGTGTAAGAGATAATGAAAGAACCAATGCAAACAAATTTGAAATATAATTCAGCCTGGGGAATTGTACTTGACACAGAAAATGTGTTGGCTCTGCTTCCATTCACCTCTGCCTACCTGCCGTCCACCTGGTAGGTATTAGTCACTTGTTCCATTTCTCCCAAGAAGAAATACAATCATCAGATGCAAATTAAGCCAGCATATCCCCCACAAACTTAAGCAAAAATAAATGAAGACTAAAGGAAAAGTAGAGTATGCTTAATTTATCACTAGGTCAAGCTCTGATTGTGAGAATATTTACTCAGCCTGCTGCCTGATTCTCATTCCTTCGAATCTGAATTCTTTTCATGGCACACGAGCCACTGCTTGCTTTCATGGTTAAGTTAATGCATGAATTTGCTTCTCACATCATTTGATTGATGCCTTGCTTGGTCTTGGAGAGGTAATGAGATTACCACTTTAAAAATATAACCATTAGTACATGATAAAAAATCATATTTGGAGAAATTTTCAAATGTTGCATTTACTCATCTATTCATTCCACACATTTGACCATATCCATGGCTGTAAGAGAATAATCATTGATTCCTTCCTCGTCCCAATGCCCACCTCCCTCCTATATATACAGACTCATCACTAGAAACTATCTATGTCATTCTTCATTATTGCTTTAGGGCTGTGGTACTAGCCTTTGATATTGTCCCTTGGCCAGTCTTCCTACACACTCAAAATGTAGATTTGCCATAAAGCTGCCAGCCTGACAAAGGCAGGGCTATTAGTTCTACCAAGGTCACAAGGGTAAGTGTAAAATTACATTCAAGTAGGGGTTACAATCCAATTCCTTCAGTCATTAATTCATTCAACAATTATGTATTGAACATTGGTTTTTCTAGACCCTACGATGAATAAACAAAGATGCTTGCCTTCAGGGAGCTCATCTTCAGCTGAAGGAGACTGATGGTAAATTTAGAGTAAATTAGTGAATTATATAGTTCAGTAGAGCAGGATAAAGTAGATCAGCAGTAAGAGGTATACAATTTTAAACACAGTGTTTGATCAAATTGAAGACATCAACATTTGTAAATCACACCATTATTTTCTGGACCAGTAAGAAAAATAATGCCAATTAAATTATGCTGCAATGCCTAAAATGGTAGTTCTGTGGCTTTGAAATGCATTTCATAAATCAGCAGGGATCTGGCAATTTCTTCTGCTCTCAGGTGCAACGCTTAGGAAGTTAAAGGCCATCCATCCTTTGTGTGTTTCTCAGTAGCAAAATGAAACTCAGCTTCTTCTCCTTATAGGTAGCCTCCTTATGCAGGCCCTGTAAAGCACATAGTTGTTGCTTTCAAAGGCAATGTAGAAATGAAAAAAGAAAAGCGTGTTAATATTAACATCATTATTTTCAAACCAAACTCCTCCCAACCCCCTAAAAAAGTAGAAAGTACCTTAATTTCAGAATATAGAACAGAACTTTAAACTGAAAACATTTAACATCATTTTATAAAAAAATAAATAAGTTGTCCTACTTTCTCATTTTCCTATCTTTGGTTAAAGAATTTATTTTGGCTAGGTGCCAGTATTCTGAGATTCATTTGGGAAATCGCAATCTACAGCTGAGGTCTTCAAATTTTTATCTTGTGACCCCCTAAAAGAATTTTTTTAAATCTGTAAATGTGTTTTTTTAAGTGAGGTTAAAGATTTTCATCATCATTTTAATAACTGCAAACTATGTATGGGTGTATTGTACATGTTGCTATTTTAAAATAAAACTGTTATAGCTCTTTTTAAAAATATGAAATTGTGATCATTCTTCTAGAAACAAAATATTTCCTTCAATACCAAATGTAAGCTTCATTGCCCTATTCCCACGCCTTTCTTCATACACAATAACTTTTTGTCTCAATGCTCAATTACAGTATCGTAATTTTAAAGACATTTTAAATGGCAATGAAATCAACTTATGCAGTACCAAAAATGCACATAACTCAGTGAAGCAATGATACTATGAACAAATACAACAGGATTCCCATAGGCTCAGGGCATTTGCGGCATGATTGTGAAACACATCCCATTTTCAGAGATGTGAAAATGTGTGAAATATACCACTTAGAATTGAGGAGATATGGCTGGGTGATCTCAATGAGAAGGAGTCATACGGCTAGCTATGAGGGAAGAGCCGATCTATGCTAGCTTGCAAGGAAATGAGAGAATTCAATTCAATCTTATGTATGGGACTAGCTGCCTTTCCATTTTACAATTAGGGTCTGTCCCTTGACAAGTCTCCAAATAGACCTGAAATATGGACCTGGCTTAAAGGCAGGTAGGCAGAAGCCAGGCATCAATGGGTCTCCTAAGGACAGTGGTTCTCCAAGTGTGGCTTCCAGATCATCAGCCCCAGCCTCACCTGGGCACTTGTTGAAAATGTAAATTCTCAGGCTCCAATCCAGCCCTGCTGAATTGGAAAATGTGGGGGTGGCCCAGCACTCTGTTTTAACAATCCCCAGCCGGTTTCAATATGTGCTAACTGCCTCAAAAAAAACCCTAACCAACAATGAAAAAGCAGATGAGTTATGCTTTTCTATTTCCTTTTTATTTTCCTATTTGTCTATGAAGTCATATTTAAACTTCCACGTTCTTCCCAGGTGTCCTCAGAGGAATTAAGGAAAGAGGCCTGTGTTTGCTTGAGCCAGAATGTCCAGGAGGGCACCACCTGGAGGGCATCATGGTGGTGGTGGTGGCAGCCACTGCATATTAGTGAGAATTAGTAAGGAAGAAGAATATAGGAGAATAGAGCCTTGGGTTCAGTTTGGTCTCACATGGAGGACTGTACATTACCACCATCATTTGTTAAATTTAGGGGATTTCAGTTGGTTTTATCAAGGCATTGTTTTCTAAGGTAAAGGTAATTTTTGGTTGGGAGAAGGTATTAAATCCACGAAATCACATTATGAGAAAGTTGTTTTCAACTTCCCAGTAATCATTATAATGTCTAGAGAAAGTCTCCATTTAGTGTATTCAACACATCTTTAACACTTAACACAAGAAGAGAAAGATTTACGCTCAGTGCCTCGGTAGGCTCATGTTTCTAGCTAGAATTCAATAATATTTTGTTGTTTTCACCATTATTTCTCTTCCTGGATATCATTTATTGTGACAGAGGATACTGGTTTTCCACTTGAAATCATTATCTGAAAGTTCAATCTAAAGAAAGTTCATTTAAATAAAACAAGCACCATTCGAAAGAAAAACACCCAGAAAGAGATAATAGAGGTGGTTTAAGGATACAGTATGTAAATGGGAACCACTATATTAAGAAGACTGTGGGTTGTTATCCTGGCACTTACACTAATGAGACTTCAAATTCAAAAAGAAAATTCTTACTTCGAATTTGACCTTCAGGCTAGCTTTCAGGTTTCAAACATAGTATCTTGAGCCTTAGTGAGTTATACACTCGTTTGTAAAAACCAAAACAACAAACCAAAACCGAGCAGGATGGAGGGGTGGGGTAGAGGGTTGGGGGGGATGGGAGTAGGCAGGAATGAAAGGAGATTGAGATTAAGACTTCTAGAATAACATTTTTTAAGATAAAAACTTGAATTAAATGTATGGTAAGTCATACTTTCTAATGACAAGCGGACAAATAAGAAGACACAACTCTCCATTACTAAGAGCAATTAAAGTACAAATAATTCCCTCTGAGAATCATGATTATTTACATGCTGGACACAAATTATCCTTCTGCATATAATCTTACAGGCATTTGGACTTCAGAAAATCTAGTTTTATTAGTCCTAGGATCAGGATTTCTCTACTGAACTATTTCTGTTAATTGTTTTTCTAATTTCATATGCATCTCAAGTATACTCACTGAAGCTTCCTTAGACAAACATAGCAATGGTAGATTTTGAATATGAATTACAGACGATCTCATGTCCATTATCATTCATTCAGTAGCAAGTATTGTAAGTTCAGCATATAGACTTACAGCTGTAATATAAGTTAATTTCTAAATGGAAAATGGTCACAGTATATACTGTGTAAGCTTGGAGCAAATCTTATAGCTTACTGGTTTGGAAGATGTGAAAGTTTCTTGTAAAGTCAAGTAAGTGATACTCGAAGTGGGGAGTAACTTCACATTGATGTTTCAATGTGAAGAGGTTATACAACTGGGGTAAACAACAACAGCTCTTAGGCAACCAAGGAGGATTTACCTCTATTCTTCTCTGTTGGCCATTGCTCCTACTGGGACCTGGCAGTCAACAGAGTGAACAAATACATCATGAATGTTACTGGATTTCAGAGTCTATTAGGAGCCAACAAGCTGATTCAATCCTTACTAACAACCCACAGTTCCAAAGATTCAAAGCCAAGATATCTGAATTACTAACTCATTAAAAACAGAAATAAAAATTGAATCAGCTTAGAGCGACTCAGTACAAAGATGAAAAACAAGTTAACCACGGTGGGGAGGGTAGGGGGAGAGCAGGGGTTGAGGGCAGAAGGGGCGAGCTGCTTTCAGCCTCAAGTTCTTTCTACAAAAGGACCTGAGCTGAAATGAAACAGTTTGCCAGAGGCTTCTAGAGATAAAGGTGGACTCCCACAGAAAATGTTCCAGATCCTGGGAAGACAACAGCGCAAATTAGATAAGAGTGTGTCCTTGTTTAATAGTTGGCATTAGGTGCTGCAAAATATAACATTGAGGTAAATAGCACAGACATGGCTTTCCTTCTTTCTCTTAACACTGACTGCTTAAAAGTTCTTCCCCAGTCATTGTTTCCTGTTTGATTACCATGAAGTCTTTCTGTGATGCTTTCCTGGTTGAAAGGCCATGAGTGCAGGCAAGACTTTTAAGTGTCTAGGGGTTGAAGATAGGATCCTACCCCACAGAGCTCAAGGCACTTTGTCTCTTTCCACCTATAGCCTGTCTACCTGTCTCTCTCAGGAACCTAGGGGGAATTCTCAGAGGGCCACCCTGGGGCATAGCCACACTCAGTTTACTAGGTTTACGTGTTCTCTGCAGCATTGGGCTCAGAGGGTCAACTACTCACTGTACCTGGAAATCAAACACAGAAGAGTTTCTGTCCTCAGCAGGACTCACCTTAGATCTCCTCCAAGGAAAAGTGTGTCCATAACTGGTAGTGGATACACTTGCATTTAACAAGGATATTTGTATTATTTGGCTACATTCCGATGACTTCAAGTTTCATGTTAGGTATCCTTGTCACTTAAACTCTGGGACTTTGTCCAGATATAACTGTGTTTCTCCAGTGAAACAAATTTGGATCTGTTCACACTTCTGGGTTTTCCCCCAGCTCACTGTGTGATGTTAGCTTAATCACTTCATTCTCCCACTCTTCCATTTCCTATCTATCATGTGCAATGCTATGACCAATAATTAGTGCATAGCAATACCTCGAACTTACAAAAGGCCTTCCTTCCAGGAAACTCACGGTACTTCATGAGGGCTAGTTGGTATCCTTCACAAAACCTCAGTGAGAAAGGTTTTGTTATTTATACTGTTTTTATACTTGGTTCTATTTTTATAGATGCACCAAGATGATTAAATAATTTTCTTGGGGTCATAAGTTATCATATTTTCTTGGTAGCATGTTATCAAAAGCCTTTGATGGTGCTCTTCTGGCAATGCTATTCAAATCAAGTTGCACAGCTAAAGTACCTAGTGTTGGTACCTGGCAATAGTCAAAAACTTTAATAATTGCCTATAAAGCTGGAGACATGGCCCCTCATTATGTTAGCACATATTAGGAAATGTGTTTTGCTACTTTTTTCTTCCAGTAATAGTTATTATTTCCCAGTCAAATGTAAGTTCTGTTGCTGTTACTGAAATGTAGCAGAGTGCCCATGAGCCAATGCCTGGCAGTGCACTCCAAGCAGCCTCCACTGTCACAACACAAAAAACCAAACCATCTACAGAGCCAGAATGGCACATAGAGGAAGACAGAAACATGAGAAGTAGCCTTGCCAAAGTCCAAAGGTCTGAGCAAGAACACCAGGAGCCAAGTCTCTAGAGCACAAACAACCAGACAGAAGGGCTCCCAGGAACAGGATGTTCTGCAGCATTTCCAAAAACCTCTGGCCACTGGGCAGGGCATCCATTGCTCACCAAGCACCCTCTTTGCAGGGGTTCACCTCCAGAAAAAGAAATGTAACATACTTCGGAATGAGCAGCAAGCTATCCACCAAATCACATTTCTACATATTGAAAAGTGAATCTCTTTAGACTAAATCTCAGAGCAATGTTGTTTGGAGAAGTGATGTGATCAACTTTTTCCACTTCAGACTCAGAGTTCAATACTTTCTATTATCTAAATATACCTGTTA